TGAGGGACCAGGACTGAACCAGGACTGAACCAGGACTGAACCAGGACTGAACCAGGACTGAGTGGCACAGAGCTCCACGTCCCACAAGACTAAGCGCAGCTGTCACCCGATTGCGCTTTGTGGACGCCCAGTTTCACGGGCTCGGAGTTCGCCCGCTCACCCTCAAGTCCAAGATTAGTCTGTACTGGTTTAGTCCTGGTTCAGTTCTAGTTTAGACCTGGTTTAGTCCTTGTTTAGTCCAGTTATAGTCCTGGTTTAGTCCTGGTTTAGTAAAGTTATAATCCTGTTTAAGTCCTGGTTCAGTCTTGGCACAGTTCTGGTTTAGACCTGGTTTAGTCCTGGTATAGTCCTGATTTAGTCCAGTTATAGTCCTGGTTTAGTCCTGTTTTGTCCTTGTTCAGTCCTGGTTTAGTCCAGTTATAATCCTGGTTCAGTCCTGGCTCAGTCCTGGTTCAGTTCTGGTTTAGACCTGGTTTAGTCCTGGTTTAGTACTGGTTTAGTCCTGGTTTAGTCCTGTTTTGTCCTGGTTTAGTCCTTGTTTAGTCCAGTTATAGTCCTGGTTTAGTCCTGGTTTAGTAAAGTTATAATCCTGTTTAAGTCCTGGTTCAGTCTTGGCACAGTTCTGGTTTAGACCTGGTTTAGTCCTGGTATAGTCCTGATTTAGTCCAGTTATAGTCCTGGTTTAGTCCTGTTTTGTCCTTGTTCAGTCCTGGTTTAGTCCAGTTATAATCCTGGTTCAGTCCTGGCTCAGTCCTGGTTCAGTTCTGGTTTAGACCTGGTTTAGTCCTGGTTTAGTACTGGTTTAGTCCTGGTTTAGTCCTGTTTTGTCCTTGTTCGGTCCTGATTTAGTCCAGTTATAGTCCTGGTTTAGTCCTGGTTTAGTAAAGTTATAATCCTGTTTAAATCCTGGTTCAGTCTTGGCACAGTTCTGGTTTAGACCTGATTTAGTCCAGTTATAGTCCTGGTTTAGTCCTGTTTTGTCCTTGTTCAGTCCTGGTTTAGTCCAGTTATAATCCTGGTTCAGTCCTGGCTCAGTCCTGGTTCAGTTCTGGTTTAGACCTGGTTTAGTCCTGGTTTAGTACTGGTTTAGTCCTGTTTTGTCCTTGTTCAGTCCTGGTTTAGTCCAGTTATAGTCCTGGTTCAGTCTGGTTTAGACCTGGTTCAGTCCTGGTTCAGTGCTGGTTTAGACCTGGTTCAGTCCTGGTTCAGGTGTTGTGGTCTAAGATTTATATTCTGTTGGTGATTATTAATGTTAATAACATGATTCCGCATCATTTTGAGTAAAAAAAACAAAACAAAAAACCATCAAATATTACAGATTTTTTTTTTTTTTTTTTTTTGGCACCTTTATGTTTGTTCTGAAAGTGACACCACTGCTTGAAACCACTACCACTTCATGACATCACAAGGTGGAGCAAAGAATAATTTTGAGCTTTGGAAATGAAGACAGATTAATAATAATAAAGTGTGTTAACGTGTGTGAATGAAACAAAACACAACTCCAGGTCTTTTTTTGATGCGATAACAACATTATAACGTGAGTTAAAGCGCAAAAGAGTCATTTTTTTGCTTTCTATAGAACCTTTAAACAGTTTGCATTTCTTCCTCACTTATCTTTTGCATTCTGAGCATCTTAGTCATTACGACGAGTTCATCAGCATTTACATACATTAATAAACATAAATAATAGTGGCCCCAACACTGAGCCTTGCGGAACGCCCATGTCATTTGAGAAAAGAGACTTAAACTACACCTCAAATGTTTGAAAACCACTGATTTAAGATCCGTTTCCTGTCCAGTTTTGTTTTCGAACCTTGTAAATTCCATCGGTAACTGTTGCGAAGTACAAAATCGGTCTAAAACATCAATATGCATGCGTCATCGTGAAAAGTGTGCGTTGGCATGACTCCAACTCCACCCTCACCGCTGTCCAATGGGAAACGACTCTAAAGTGCACTTGTGTCTCCTGATTGGCCACAACTACTTCCTGTTTACTTCCTCGTGGCCATTTATAGAGGACTAAAATGATTTAATTGGAAATAAGTAAATATAAGATGTAGAAATATGTAAAAATGTGTAAATAAATCGATTTCAAACATAATTGCATACATTTTAAAGCCCTTATTAAGATTATTAATGTTTAAAAATTCTATAGAAATTATATATTGACAGAAAAAAATTAAATAAATGCCCAAAAATTGAAATAAAATCAGATTAAAATAAATAAATTAAAATCAGATTATATACTGTATGCATATGTACATTTAAATTAAAAATGCATGCAATTATGTAAGAGTACAGTTGCGTATTTATTTATTTCCAATGAACTTTTCAGTCCTTTCTCTTACTTCTCTCTTCTCTCTTTCTTTTTGCCTGAGCTCGAGCTGTGGTTTTTGTTGTCGTTTTGCGTCCTATACGTTGTGTTTTGTGCGTTGTCACCGGTCTACAGAGGTTGCACTATAAACTTTGCCTGTTTTTTCCAAGACGTTTCTTTATAAATGTGTGCAATACCTGTTTCTAATTTGTCCTGAAGATTTTGAGAGATAAATAAAAGAAATATTTGAAAGTGATTTGCAGGTGTCTTTATTTCAGTCTAACCTGGAGACGAGCAGGTACAGTTACAGGTCGGTTTAAAAGGTGATCTTGAATGTACAATAATGTCACTGTGGAACAATCCAGGTAAAGTAGGTAGTGATTAAGATAATTTAAGTAATTCATCCTCCTTGTACATCTCAATTTAACGTCGACTCACAGGAGCAATAGTAACACGATCATCTTCCTTTAGCACACCATTGGCAAACCTTTATCTAAACTGTGGCATATTTCTGTCTAGCTGGTGTCTACTGGTCTTCAGAGTCTCACTACACTTGCTTTATAAACCTCCTCCTTTAGAAGCTCAGTCAAGGGGCTTAAACATTCAAACTTCATACTATGTTCACTTTTGAAATCAAACTATGTTCACTTTTCAAGTCCCCCTGAACCAGGACTAGCCAGGGAACGCCTGTCCCTGACCAGTACCTCTCAAGACTATGAGAGACATAGTCCCTCCAGAGTGTCCTGGGCCTCCTCCCGGTGGGACATGCCCGGAACACCTCCTGAGGGAGTCATCCAGGAAGCACCCGGAACAGATGCCCGAGCCACCTCAGCTGGTTCCTCTCAACGTGGAGCAGCAGCGGCTCTACTCCGAGCTCCTCCTGTATGACTAAGCTCCTCTCCCTGTCTGTAAGGGAGCGCCCAGCCATTTCAACCGCATGTATTTACAATCCAGTCCTTTTGGTCAATACCCAGAGCTCATGACCATAGATGAGGGGAAGATCGTAGATTGAGCGGTAAATCGAGAGCTTTGCCTTTTGTCTCAGCTCCGTCTTCACCACAACGGTCCGATGGTGCACATTGCAGGTCCTGGACTACATCATCTCCTCACAGCAGCCCGCATGTATTACTGACGGTAAATAAACATCACCTACTTAGGACATCCAGCTGGTACAGTTTATGAGCTCTTGTTTATTTGTGTTAATTAAAAACACCCTTATGATTCTGTGTAAAGCCCTATTCACACAGGATTAGTTTTACCTCAGGACGTCTGTAAATTTTAATTTTAAAGACAAAAACTTCAAGTCTAACCAAGACTAGCATTAGTGAACTACTCCTGAGCACCCTTCATCACGGCACTTCCAGTCGGTGTGAAAAAGGTTTATAGCATTGTTTTTCAAAGACTGGGTTGTGACCCTCGGGTGGGTGGCTTGAGAGTTTTTTGGGGTCTCCTTGTCGTGATCTGTATGTAGATCTGTGATATACAGTTCTGACTCTGATCTATGTGTTGAGCTCTCCTCCTGCATCCTGGACTGGAACACACTACAGAAACACAGACAGGCCCACCTATCTCATTAGAAATGTTGATGTTAAGACATGTTATGTATAATTGTTAATCTTTTTTGTATTTATTTTAATGACTATTTTGTTCCAGTATTGTTGGTTCAAGTGAATGTTGAAAAGAAAAAGAAATGAGCTACATTTGATGTCCAAATAGGCGACTTATGGATCCTTTTATTGCTGCTTCATTTGCTGTTTTAATTTGTTTAAAACTTGAGTAATACTAATAGTTCAAAGAGACACGATCACTAAGTCACAGTGTTGGGGAGTATCAGATTACATGTACCGGAGTTACGTAATCAGAGTACAAATGATGAGTAACTGTATTCAGTTACAGTTACTGTTTCAGTGAGTGGTAATTGGATTACAGTTACTTTGTTGAAATAAATGGATTACACAGTGGTATTTTCCTGTTTTCACATTTTGGGCTATTCCCTTTTTTTTTTGGTAATTCCACTCATTGCCGGACTCTAAACTAGGTCTAAAACCAGGTCTAAATTAGGTCTAAACCAGGACTAAAGCAGGACTAAAACCAGGTCTAAACCAGGTCTAAACCAGGACTAAAACCAGGTCTAAAACCAGATCCAGACCAGTTCTAAACCGGGTCTAAACTAGGTCTAAAATCAGGTCTAAACAAGGTCTAAACCAGAACTAAACCAGGACTAAACCAAGACTAATACCAGGTCTAAACAGGACTAAACCAGGATTAAAACCAGGACTAAACCTCTCCTCCTCTTCTATGAATAATATTTTTAATTTGGTTAACTAAAGTCTGGGCTTTTCATTTTCTTTTAGCAGACAAAACATCTTATGTGAAGATTTCCTCGTCTTTGCTACTTTACCGCAAATCAAGTAATCCAAAGTATTCAGATTACGTTACTCACTTTAAGTAATTTAATGGATTACGTTACAAACTACATTTTGGGGTATGTAATCTGTAATCTGTAGGGGAATACATTTTAAAAGTCACCTTCCCAACACTGTCAAATCCACCTTTATTTGTGATTTATGAATAATTTCTATTGACTTGGGAGAAGGTTTGCGACTGGGAAAGACTGATGTATATAGGGTTAAAGATGTATTAGATCATCCAGTCCAGCAGAGGGCGCGTCCCGACGTCAGTTCCATAAAGTCTGCACGTGATAACAACAGAGAAAGATCCAACAAAAACAATCGGAAAACAACAACAACAACAGTCCCACAGAGTCCGTCACGAGTCTGTTGTCCTTCACTGTCCCCGCTCGTGTCCCCGCGCAGGTCCCCGCGCAGGTCCATGCTCTCTGCGGTGCTCGTGGCCGCGGTCGTGGGCGGTGGTGTCCTGGTTCTCCTCCGCCGGCTCTTTCCGCAGCAGAAGCCCGCAGAGCCGCTCCGCTTCCCCGCCGGAGCCATGCGCGGGAAGACGGTCATCATCACCGGGGCCAACAGCGGCATCGGGAAGGCCCTGGCCGGGGAGCTGCTCAAGCTGCAGGCGCGGGTCATCATGGCGTGTCGGGACCGGGGCAGGGCGGAGGAGGCGGCCCGGGAGCTGAGGAGCCAGGCCGGGCAGGAGCAGGGGGAGCTGGTCATCAAACTCCTGGACCTGGCCTCGCTCCGGTCCGTGCGGAGCTTCTGTGAGGAGATCACCAAGGTGAGAGGAGTGAGAGGGTTCAGTGTCTCTACAGGGTGACCAGATGTCTCTATTGACCCGGGACAGTCCCAGTTTTGAGCCTGTGTGCCCTTGTCCCAGCAGATTTATCCAAAACCACTGATTTGTCCCAGTTTTATAATAAAAAAATGTCCCAAAACCACTGATTTGTCCCAGTTTTATATAAAAAAATGTCCCAGGTGTCCCTATTTTTGACCAATCTGATCCTTGAGTCACTGTTTTTAGGACTTGACTTCATAAAATGGACTAAGACTTGGGACTCGACTTGGACTTGAGGCCTGTGACTTAAGAAGCACTTTTAAATCTGAATTATTTCTATTCTGACTGTAATAATTCACACTAAGATCTTGTCAAGACATTTAAAAAGGGAACAAAAATGCATTTCTACAACTCTAATATACTCTAAAAATATTCATATTTAAATATACTATGACTTTATAAGTACAATTTATCTTAAAAATCATATAAAGTGCAAAAATCAAAGCTTTACTTTGGTTTAAACACTTGAAATGACTTGAAGCTCAAAGCAGACGACTTGGACTTGACTTGGACTTATGAGCCAGTGACTCAAGACTCAACTTGGGACTTGACTCGGACTTGAAGTCAGAGACTTGAGACTTGCAAAACGACAACTTGGTCTCACCATACATTGTCATTTATTTTGGTAAAATGACCAAAACACAAAGAAAATGTGACTATACTGACTCATTTTAGTGCCTAGTGCATAACAAATTTCCTTTAATTATGCACTAATTTCACAATTTTATTATTACCAACCACCACGAACCAGGGATGTCCCAGTTTTTTTATTTTGAAAATCTGGTCACCCTAATGTAATAAGAGGTCAAACGGGAAAACTGTGAATATTGACAACATTATAACGTGAAAGGATGTTCACGGTTAATACGGTTCTGAAATTAATGATCTCAAAGTTTTTCATCACTAAAAGAGACTACGTGGCCCACAGAGTCTAAAATTCTCCCCCATAATATAAGAGAAACATGGTTAGGGTGACCTGACGTCCCTATTTCCTCGGGACAGTCCCAGTTTTGAGCCTGTGTCCCCTTGTCCCAGCAGATTTATACAAAACCACTGATTTGTGCCAGTTTTATATTTAAAAAATGTCCCAGGTGTCCCTATTTTTGACCAATCTGATCCCCGAGTCAATGTATTTAGGACTTGACTTGATAAAATGGACTAAGACTTGGGACTCAACTTGGACTTGAAGGTCAGTGACTTGGGACCTGATTCAGATTTGAGGCCTGTGACTTAAGAAGCACTTATAAATCTGAATTCTTTCTATTCTGACTGTAATGATTCACTCTTAAGATCTTGTCAAGATATTTAAAAAGGAAAAACTTGCATTTCTACAACTGTGATATGCTCTATAAATACTCATATAAATATACTATGACTTTTTAAGTACAATTTATCTTAAAAGTCATATAAAGTGCAAAAATCTAAGCTATATTTGGTACTTTTTTGGATTAAAGACTTGAAATGACTTGAAGCTCAAAGCAGACGACTTGGACTTGACTTGGACTTATGGGCCACTGACTCAAGACTCAACTTGGGACTTGATTCGGACTTGAGGTCAGAGACTTGAGACTTGCAAAATGACAACTTGGTCCCATCAAACATTGTCATTTGTTTAGGTAAAATACAGAAAAGCTGCTGGAAAACAACCAAAACACAAAGAAAATGTGACTATACTGACTCAAATTAGTGCAGAGTGCAGAACAGTTTTATTTAATTAAGCACTAGTTTCACAGTTTTATTTTTAATAACCATCACAAACTGAAGGTGTCCCTGTTTTTTATTTTGAAAATCTGGTCACCCTAATTTAATACAAGGCCAAAAGAAGACAATACGATGGGCTGCAGGAACGTGAAAGGCTGTTCAGGGTTAATACGGTTCTGAAATGAAGCATCACAGAGTTTTTCATTACTAGAAGAGACGTGGCCCACAGAGTCTAAAATTCTTCCCCATAATTTAAGAGAAACATGACTAGGGTGACCTGACCTCCCTATTTCCTCGGGACAGTCCCAGTTTTGAGTCCTGTGTCCCTTATCCCTGCAGATTTATCTAAAACCACTGATTTGTCCCAGTTTTATACAAGAAATGTCCCAAGTGTCCCTATTTTTGAACAATTTCATCCCTGCCAACAGTAGAGAGAGACATAAGTTGTCATTTGTTTAGGTAAAATACAGAAAAGCTGCTTAAAAGTGACCAAAACACAAAGAAAATGTGACCATACTGACTCACACTGGTGCTGAGTGCTTAAAAAAATGTCCTTAATTACGCACTCATTTCACATTTTTACTATTAACAACCAACACAAATTGAGAGTGTCTCAGTTTTTTATTTTATTTTGAAAATCTGCTCACCCTATTTTAATTTTCAAATGGGAAAACTGCGAAGACTGATCCAGTTTTATACAAGAAATGTCCCTATTTTTGACCAATTTGATCTAAACTAGGACTAAACTAAGACTAAACCAGGACTAAAACAGAACTTTCACATTTCTTGACTAATCTGATCCCCTCAAACAGTAAATAGGAGCATAAATTGTCATTCATTTGGTCAAAATACAAAAAAATGTGTTTGAGAATGACCATAAAGTAAAGAAAATGCAGCGTCAGAAGTCCCTGGACAAAGTACAAAGTTACACAGTCTTTTCACAATTTTATTTATACCAACCTTCCCAACCCTTGTGTGTTGTAGTTTAGAAATTTAGAAATCTGGTCACATTATGTTTGTTTACTTCTCGTGTGAGCTCCATTAGACGACCTGTGGTTTGCTGCTTTGGCTTTGGCCTTTCTGACCTTATTTATTTCCAGTGCAGATTTGAGTAAATGTGTTCTGCTCGTGGCTCCTGACATAAGCTCTGTCCAAATGCTGAGCTCAGTTAAAAAACACACGGCACAATAGAGAAGAGGGGGAGCAGGGGGAACCAAAACTAATACGGTACATGCCCTTGGACCTGTTTTCTGACTCTGAAATACGTTACTATGCAGAAAAAGCTTTTGTTTTTCTTGTTCTGCTTCAAGGAGAGGTGAGAGTCTAAAACAGCGATGTCCAAACTTTATCATTATTATTTATTACTAAGAATTTGTCGATACGATACATACCTCGATACAGTGAGCTTTCGATTTGATACGATATATATTTTTCAAGTTGATTCAATATGGTTCAATAAAAAATTAATAAAAAAGTCTTTGTTAAACCACTTCCTGTGCAAAGTTCATATGAAACACAAACATTTTAATCATCAAAACACTGAAAATATCAAATGTGTCGCATAAATGAGTTTCCAAGTGACAAAACTGTATCACTGTAACAAAATAATTTAGTGAAATATACCAAATAATACTCTCGGTGATATATCGATACAACAGCCCACGATATTGATACTGTATCATCACATTCAACGATACGATATATCGATATTTAGATATTTTTGCACACCCCAAGTGGTCAATAATATATGAGTTATTCAGATGAGTGTATTTTCCATGGTGATAACAGAGCCACTGTAACTTTAATAAGGCTTGGAACATTTATTTTATTTTAGGTTTGTGTCTAAAATGTAATGTGATGTCGTTGCGGTAGTAATAGAGGTACTTAAATTAGCTAAGTCTATATTTGCTGTAAAAGGTTCTACTCATGATCATTTAAGATAAGGTAAGATAATCCTTTTTTGTCTCCCATAGTTGAAAATTGTCTTGGGTCAGGGGGTAACATGCTTTATCAAAAAACAAACACCATAGAACAAAAGCAGATATGAGACCAAGTATGACCACGAGTGATGCACCAACAGGACCTTTAAATTATTCTTTACAGGCAAACCCTTTGCATTCTTGCCTTGTGTTAATAATTGCACACTCCCTGAGTCTATGTACAGTTTTGATTCAGAGTATTTGAGTTAATAATACAGCAGGAGGTCAGAGGGCCAAGGACATTTGGTTTGGACACTCCTGATCTAAAAGTACAAACTGAAGTCCAGGTAAGAATGTGTGAAAATATCAATATATCGTATCATTTAATGTGATGATACAGTATCGATATCGTGGGCTGCTGTATCGATAAATGACCAAGAGTATTTTTTGGTATGTTTTGCTAAATTATTTTGTTACAGAGCCACAGTTTTGTTTGTTTAGAGGAAGGAAACTCGTTTATGCAACACATTTAACATTTTCACAGTTTTGATGATTAAAATGGGACGTCTTTTGTATTAACTTTGCACAAGAAGTGGTTTTACAAAGACTTTTAGTATCACAGCCATCATTTAGCCTTTATTTTTTAATGAATCGTATCAAATCGAAAGTGCACTGTATAGAGATATGTATCGAGGTATGTGTTGTATCGGCAACTTCTTAATGATTCCCAGCCCTAGTGACAGGGTAAAAACAAAAAACTAAATAATACTTTTCAAAATAAAATGTCAAAATGATAAAATTCACATATAAGTTATAATGAAACATAATCCGGTGTGTTTACATTCATGTTGTGTCATGTTTGTCCATTAACATGCTCTGTCCCAGTCAAATAAAAAAAATAATAAAATTAAATACAACCAGGAAATAATAATTAATGCATTTTAATTCCGCTACACAAACTTAATTTTGATTTGTGCAAACCTGTACCAGCCTTTTTCCAGACTATAAACAATAAGATTAAATGCATATCAATTGTTCAAAAATATGCACAATTTGAACCTATTCAGTCTTTTCTTCAGTGTAGTTGAGGTTCTGCTAAAAAGTTTACTGGGTTAAAACTGTGATTAAAAGTCCACTTTATTCCCATTGTTGTTGTAAACCCATGTTTGACCACTAGGCGTCAGTGTAGGACCACACTGTCCACTCAGAGACACATCCACAGCTCTGTCGCCTTCACAGATGCTTCAGTGTCTCTCCTGAAAGACTCTGGGTTTATTAAATATTGAACCTTTTGAGTTTTCAGTTTAGTCATTTGTATTGAAGACCCTGTTCATGTACTATGTGACATCACTCAGAAAATGTGTTAATTGCCCAGAATTATCCATAAGTATATTCTAGGGATGTAAATATAACCAAAATATCATCAAAATTCTTACAATAATATCATGGACCATCACAATATATCGAATTACAAGTTTCTTTGCTTAAATTAAGAGTTATGGTGCAGCGAGAGCGGAAAAAAAGACAGAGGGAACTACATAGACCATGATCCTTTGCTCCATTTCAGTGCAAACTACAAGAAGAAATAACAGTTCTAAGCACTTTTAAGTTTTAGATCTTTGGATTAAGTCTTGTCACGGCATTTTTTTGTTAGCCTCCACAAAATATCTCAATAAATATCGTACAGTGAGGTTCATACCGTGACGATATCGTATCGTGAGACTTGGGTATCGTTACACCTCTAGTATATTCAGATGTTTGGGGCTCAGTGGTGGAGCTTTCACCTACAAACCCAGAGAGCGATGGTTCAATCTCTGCCAGAGGTTTTTTTTTTTTTTACGACTTCAGACTTGACTTGATAAAATGGACTAAGACTTGGGACTCGACTTGGACTTGAAGGTCAGTTGGGGACTTGAACTACATAGACCATGATCCTTTGCTCCATTTCAGTGCAGACTACAAGAAGAAATAACAAGTCAAGATAATAATAATAATAATAATAAGTCAGACTTGAGTCACTATTTTTATGACTTGAGACTTGACTTGATAAAATGGACTAAGACTTGGGACTCGACTTGGACTTAAAGGTCACTGACTTGGGACTTTACTCGGACTTGAGGCCTGTGACTTGAGAAGACTTGAGAAGCACTTTTAAATCTGAATTCTTTCTATTCTGACCGTAATGATTCACATTAAGATCTTTTCACAACATAAAAAAATAATAATAATACATTTCTACAACTCTTATATACTGTATAAATATTGAAATATAAATATACCATGAATTTTTAAGTACAGTTTTGTCATATAAATTGCAAAAATCTGGTTTAAAGACTTGAAATGACTTGAAGCTCAAAGCAGACGACCTGGACTTGACTTGGACTTATGGGCCAGTGACTCGAGACTCGACTTGGACTTGCCTGTATTTGACTTGGGACTTGACTCAGACTTGAGGTCACAGACTTGAGACTCGCAAAACGATGACTCGGTCCCACCTCCAACCTGTGCCTGCTGCTGTGTCCTTGGGCAAGACATTTCGCCAACTCTGGTCATTTTTCTGTATGAATCTGTGTGTGTCTCGATTACATTTTTAATATCTTGGTCCAATTATGACACAGTTTGACTCGTGAACACTTTTGCTTAGGTTGAAATTTTAGTATCATGACTTCCTCTTGAAAACTGGCTCCACCTCTTCATATTGTCATACTTTTTTGTTTACGGTGGTTTTATTTGTACATATTTGTGGCTGTATTTAGTGTGTTTTTGTGTCGTTGATATCACAGAGCTGTGGGTTGTGATAGGTGCAAACGGAAATTCCCAGCGCGCTCCGACCTCAGGACAATAGAGGATTACTCAAACATGAATCACTCGCATACAGCTCTGAGTAAGATCGTGATGAGGCACAAAACACAATATGTTTAAAATCTCAGAAAAGATGTGGTTTTGCATAAAATGTTTCGTTTAAAGCAGCACGGTGTCACTGTCTGGAGGTGGAATTTCACTGGGAAAATTTAAGATCCAGTATTGCGCAAAATAGACTCTTGTGAGCTTTAAGACTTGGGCTGCGTTTAGATGATGAAGCTCTGAACAGAAGACGCAAAAGTGATGTCGTGTTTTCACTTTTTGTTCCATGTTTAGACGAGCGTTTTCGGGAGTAAATCTGCGTGCATACGGTGACGCAAAAGTGTGTGAAATTCGATATGCATGCCAGGTTTCTGTGTACTGTATGTATGTGACATAAACGTGTACGCGACCTGAGCAGATCTGACCAGAGTTTTGCGTCTTGGGCAGTGTAGACGGAAATGCTACGGCGGAGCGTATTCAACTTTTACACTCTGGAGGGTGGTTTCAGATTTGTGCATTTTTAAGCCCCAAAAATGCCGTCACCGTCTAAACTAAAGGCATTTCCTATAAAATATTTTGTCCTTTTTACCCACAAGGTTCTTAGTTTAATGTTGTTACCTCCTCAAAAACAAACCTGGAGTTGTGTTTTGTTTCATTCCACCTTGTGCTTTCTGAAGCTGTAGTTTTTGAGTTACCTTTTACCTTTAGTTCAGTAAAGACAAGTATTGGAAGACAATTCCAGGGCTGAAAATCTCCAAATGATTCTAGTAAAGGGGCATGGAGTGTAAAAACACAGTGGAGCACTTCCTGTATTACCACATGACATCACAAGGTGGAACAAAGTGTTTTCTGCTTGAGAGAGGAACCTAAATCTGCAGGGTTTGTGAGTTAAACATGTGTGAATGAAACAAAACACAACTCCAGGTCTGTTTGTGATGAGCAAACAACATTATAACAAATAAAAAGTGTAAGGGCCCTTTAAATCCATCCATCCATTTTCTTCCGATTATCTGGGGCCAGGTCGCAGGGGCAGCAGTCTAAGCAGGGACTCCCAGACTTCCTTCACCCCAGACACTTCCTCCAGCTCCTCCTGGGGGACTCCAAGGCATTCCCAGGCCAGCCAAGAGACATAGTCCCTCCAGCGTGTCCTGGGTCTTCCCCAGAGCCTCCTTCTGGTGGGACATGCCTTGAACACCTTCCGAGGGAGACACCCAGGAGGCATCAGAACAGATGCCCGAGCCTCAAGCTGCTCCTCTTGTCGTGGAGGAACAGCGGCTCTACTCCGAGCTCCTCTCGTGTGACTGAGCTCCTCACCCTGTCTCTAAGTAGGCGCCCAGACACTCTGCAGAGGAAACTCATTTCGGCCGCTTGAATCTGCGATCTCGTCCTTTCGGTCATTACCCAAAACTCATGACCATTGGTTTAAACCATATTTTGGAATATTCTCCATAGATTAGATCAGGGGTGTCAAACTCAAATTCACAGAGGGCCAAAATTAAAAAGTGGGACTTAAGTCGTGGGCCAAACTACATATTTTTTGAAAAATTTGAGATATGTAATATTAAATCTTTTCTTAATAAAATAAATGTTTAATAATAGTTTTGCTTAAACATTGAATCCAGAACTATAAAATATAAAATAATAACAACATTTTAAATAAATAATGTCTCTATAGCCTGTAGCCAGGTTGATATGATCTCGCGGGCCAAATATAATTATATCGTGGGCCAAATTTGGTCCCTGGGCCTGAGTTTGACCTGTCTGGATTAGATAATAGTCAAAGAAGCAACATACAACAATATAAGTCAGGTTTGTGAAGATGTAAGCCTGCACAGAGTAAGAACACAAGTTTTTCTAAATCAAAAAACAGATTTTTATTTATTTATTTATTTTTACCCTAAAACAGGGGTTCTTAACCTTTTCAATTTTGGGGCCCAACTTTTTCTGAACAAAGTATCCTGGGGCCCTATCTCATATTAAATGCAATATATTGTACTGATTGTGGGGCTCCAAGGAGGTGGTTCTTGTTCTACTTTGGGCCCCAACCCTATAGTTAAGAATCACTGGCCTAAAAGTTACACAGCGAGGCTTTAAATACATTTTCTCTTACAGCAATAACCGTATTTCCATCTCTTTCCACTCAGGAGGAACCCAAAATCGATGTGCTTGTGAACAACGCGGGCCTGTACCAGTGCCCTTACACCAAGACCGAGGACGGCTTCGAGATGCAGCTCGGCGTCAACCACCTGGGCCACTTCCTCCTCACCCACCTCCTCCTGGACCTGCTCAAGAAGTCCGCCCCCAGCCGCGTCGTCGTCGTCTCCTCCAAGCTCTACAAATACGGCTCCATCAACTTCGACGACCTCAACAGCGAGACCGAGTACGACAAGGCCTTCTGCTACAGCCAAAGCAAGCTCGCCAACTTGCTCTTCACGCTGGAGCTCGCCAAAAAACTGGAAGGGAGCGGCGTGACGGTCAACGCGCTCACCCCCGGCATCGTGAGGACCAACCTGGGCAGGCACGTCGCGATCCCGTTTTTGGCGAAACCGCTGTTCAACCTGGCGTCCATGGCGTTCTTCAAGAGTCCGCTGGAGGGAGCGCAGACGCCGTTGTACCTGGCTTGCTCGCCGGAAGTGGAAGGCGTGTCCGGGAAGTGCTTCGCCAACTGCAAAGAAGAGGAATTAACGCCGGCGGCAACGGACGAGCAGGCGGCGAAAAGGTTGTGGGACGTCAGCTGTCGGATGGTGGGGATCACGGAGGAGTGAAGGAGGACTTTTGGGGACGTTTTGGGACTCTCGCCTCGGACTAAAAAGATGGACTAGTTTCGAGACGCTGAGGGAGGAGTGTAATTTGCAGTGTTGATGAAATGACCTATTAAAGTTTGAGCGATTTTATGTCAAAAGTTTCAAATCGTGGCTTTTTTTTTAGGGAGGGGCGAGGTCTGGAGGACGAAACGGAAGAGTGAGGGGGAAGGTCTGAAAACTCAAAACTACCATGAACTGTCAGATTAATTGAAGGAGAAGGATGAGTAATGCGTTTAAGTGTTTCTGTGAGTAAAATGAAACACAAATGAACGATGGCTTCCTCCCACCAGCTTCTTGTCACTGGATGAATGCTCCTTCACAAAGTGTGATTCATCCAGCGAGCTGCCAGTCCAAAACTCACAGAACCAAACCATTATTTAGCTCCAAACCATGTGTAAGACGAAAAAGTGATATTTTAGTTGTGGGTTTATATCAGTTTCTGTATGTACGGACAAACCTCCTTGTCGGAGCCTGATGTAACAACAATCGAAATATTGTGTATTTAACCATTAAACCAGGACTAAATCAGGTCTAAACCAGGACTAAACCAGAGCTGAACCAGAACTGAACCAGGACTAAACTAGGACTAAACCAGGACTGAACCAGGACTGAACCAAGGACTAAACCAGGACTAAACCAGGTCTAAACAAGGACTAAACCAGGTCTAAACAAGGACTAAACCAGGTCTAAACCAGGTCTATACAAGGACTAAACCAGGTCTAAACCAGGACTAACCCAGGTATAAACCAGATCTAAACCAGGACTAAACCAAGACTGAACTAGGTCTAAACCATGTCTATACAAGGACTAAACCAGGACTAAACCAGGACTAAACCAGGTCTAAACCAGGTCTATACAAGGACTAAACCAGGTCTAAACCAGGACTAAACCAGGTCTAAACCAGGTCTATACAAGGACTAAACCAGGTCCAAACCAGGACTAAATCAAGACTGAACCAGGTCTAAACCATACAAGGTCTAAACCAGGACTAAACCAGAACTGACCCAGGTCAAAACCAGGTCGAAACTAGATCTAAACCAGGACCAAACCAGGACTAATCTTGGACTAGAACTTGGAATCTAGGACCGCCCCTGAGAGAACCCCGAATCCGTAGAACAGGATGATTGGTCTGCAAGGCACGATCGGGCGTCAGCTGCGTTTAGCTCCGTGGAGCGTGGAGTTCTGCGTCTGTCCTTTTGCCCACGGTCACCTGACGGTCTACACGGGCACGTCTCTGGCGTTTCACCGCTGCTGATATCGCCGTGATTTTAGCGAATTTGTATGAAGAAAAACAAAAAACCCACCACTTCAAATCCAGATTTTAAAAAAAACGTGTTACTGACATTTGTACTGAGTAAAATATTATTATTTTTTCCCTGTAAAGCTGAACATTACTGCGTTACAACAAAAAGCAACGTATTACAGTAATTCATTACTTCTAAAACGCGTTATGCCAAACACTGAGAAGAATGGAGCCTCCCCTCAAAAAGTTTCACAGTGCGACTTTAAATAATCCAGCAGACACGAGACAGAGATTGTTTATGTAGAATTGTGCTTTATTATAGAAACAAAACAACCCAAATATCCAAACATGCACCAAAAAAGAACAGGAGCACAGCGGCCGGGCGGGTAGGGCATCTGACTGAACGTGAGGTAGAAACGGGGCGGGAAAAAACCTCAGGATATCCAAAAAGCAGAAAGTATACCAAGAATAATGTAAATATAATATAATGACCATTAATAATCATGTGCACTGCTATAGGACAGATACCTGAAAACCATCAAGAAACAAGAGAACAGCCGTCGAAACCAGCTCATGGAAAAACAAAGTCAGACAATAAATTTAATCCATAACTTCAGTGTTTTTAGGTTATGATGCTTCAGAATCCACGTGTCATTCGTTCATTTGTTTTTCAAAATAAAAACAAAAATAAGAAAACGAAAAATCAGCTGTTTTCTTCATTATTTGTCTCCAAAACCAACGATTTGTTTTTTCAGTTTTCGATTTTGTTTTTAAATGAAGAATGGAAAAAAAAAATAGACAACGATCGTTTCCCGTTTACATGACGTCCGTGACTGCGATGCTGGAGTTTTGCACCGCATACGGACTGAACCACGTCCGGGACCAGACCGAGACTGAGACCAGGACTGAAACCAGGATCAGACCGGGACCAGATCAGGACCAGACCATGATTGAGACCGGGATCAGAGTAGAACTGAGACCAAGATTGAGACCGGGACTGAGACCGGGACCAGACCAGGACCTGACAGTGATTGAAACTGAGACCAGACCAGAACTGAGACTGGGACTGAAACCAGGACTGAGACCGGGACTGAGACCAGGACTGGGACAAGACCGGGACTGAGACTGGGAACAAGATCAGGACTGAGACCAGGACTGAGACCAGGACTGAGACCAGGACTGGGACCAGGACTGGGACCAGGACTGGGACCAGACCGGGACTGAGACTGGGACTGAAACCAGGACTGAGACCGGGACTGAGCCTGGGACCAGACCAGGACTGAGACCAGGACTGGGTCAAGACCGGGACTGAGACTGGGAACAAGATCAGGACTGAGACCAGGACTGGGACCAGGACTGGGACCAGGACTGGGACCAGACCGGGACTGAGACTGGGACTGAAACCAGGACTGAGACCGGGACTGAGCCTGGGACCAGACCAGGACTGAGACCAGGACTGGGACAAGACCGGGACTGAGACTGGGAACAAGATCAGGACTGAGACCAGGACTGAGACCAGGACTGAGACCAGGACTGGGACCAGGACTGGGACCAGGACTGGGACCAGGACTGGGACCAGACCGGGACTGAGACTGGGAACAGACCAGGACCAGACCGTTATTGAGACCAGGACCAAACAAGGACTGAGACCGGGAACAGGACCAGGACTGAGACCAGGACTGAGACCAGGACTGAGACCAGGACTGGGACCAGGACTGGGACCAGACCGGGACTGAGACTGGGAACAGACCAGGACCAGACTGTTATTGAGACCAGGACCAAACAAGGACTGAGGTCGTTATCACACCGCTAGTTCGATTATTTGGTCCGCACCAGGCAATAAAATTGTTATTATGTAGCAAATACACTCCAGTGTGTCCGCGTTCACACCGGCAAACGAACCAAAACTGGTTCGATTCACGTGTCTCTGTTTCCCCGGTAAAAACAGCGATACTCCAGTTACCAACACCGATGTTCCTGTTAATACCACGGGCCGTCCTCATCTCAAATTATCACCATGAACTCATAAAAACAGCAACATGTAGAACTTTGTACAAACTCACCGCATCAGCCCAGAGTTCGGGTAACAGCAGCAGCCAACAGCGCTCACAGTAGCGCAGCTCCTCAGGGTGGGGCTGGGGTCTGGTCCTTGGTCTTCTGTTACAAGTGCGTTGGTCAGATGGTCCGGAGGCTCTGTCCTCCATGTGCTGGTTCCAAACGGTGGCGAGCAAGACCAGTGCTTGATGGACTGAGTCCGAGCGGGTACGTTCAGTCGTCTGCGCGCTGTTTCCGTGCGGGAAAAGCAAGAATGCGCTGTGGGACTACAGGTCCGGGCGCTGCTCCTGTCCTCCGCGCTCAAGAACCGCGGCTGGTTCCGAGGTGGTGCAGCATCCGGACAGAAGCGTGAGTCCAGTTTGGTTTGTTATATGTTGTTCTGAGCGTCCGTCCTCCGCGCATTTGGTTCTTCCTGGGGAAAGCGCTTCCTCAGGTCGAGGCTCCCCGCTCCAGCTCCTCTGAGCCCGGCCTGAACTGGAGCTGCCCCCGCTGGTTCGGGACTCTGGTTTGGATCTAGTCCGACTGTATTTCTCACACTAGGCTAAAAACAGGGACTTTTTTAAGTTGTATCAATTGAATGGGCGATTGCCTATTGCCATGAAATTATTTGGTTAATTAAAGCCTAAAATAACAAATGTTTGGTTGCTGTGTGATCACGGGGAACACCGGGTCGTCTCTGTGCGTGTAGGTCCCGAACAGGGGTACGCACCCCCAATTTTGACTCACTCTGGAGCCACACGTTCGCACACTGATACTTGCTCTGATCTTCGTGTGTTACATTCTCTGTATTGGCCATTGTTGGTCAAATAATTTGAAAATGAATCGTGGCTGCGTCTGGACAACAATCTGTTACTGCGCTGGAGTCGTACAGCGTGTCATTTCAGGCAGAGGAGACACGTGATGCATTTCGAATAGTCCGTTTGTCCATACTGTCTATGGTTTGGACCCGGGTTCGCGTTCACACCAGAGGAACCGCACCAAAGTTGGTCATTTGGTGCGGATTCAAGTGAACCGAGACCACCTCTTTTTTGCGGTCTCGGTCCGCTTGATTTGGTTCGGGTCCGAGTCCGATTGACGCTTTCACACCAACGCAAACGAACCGAACTAACCACTTTTGGTTCGAATGGACCGTTTGGTGCGCACCAAATACTGTCGGTGTGAAAACACCCTGAGACCGGGAACAGACCAGGACTGAGACCAGGACTGAGACCAGGACTGGGACCAAACCGGGACTGAGACCGGGACTGAGACCAGGACTGGGACCAAACCGGGACTGAGACGGTTTAGTCCTGGTTTGTTCCTGGTTTAGTTCTGATTTGTTCCTGGTTTAGTCTTGTTTTAGTCCTGATTCAGTTCTGGTTCAGTCCGTATGCGGCGTAAAAGTCCAGCATCGCAGTCACAGAAGTCACTGAAACGGGAAACGGCCGTGATCCGTTTTTTTTCCATTCTTCATTTAAACACAAAATCAAAACCTGAAAAAACAAATCAATATCCTTTTTTTTTTTTTTTTCATTTTAGTTTTGGAGACAAATAACGAAGAAAACAGTTGACTTTTTCATTTTCTTATTTTTAGTTTTATATCGAAAACCGAACGAACGAACAACAGACGGATTCTTCAAGTTTCCGTTTCGTAAAAAGACTAGACCTTCTAATGTGCACGACTTCAGTAAAGTATCAATATAAGTCGCATATATCTCGTATTTCATTTACACGTTCTAATTTAAACGGGGTTCCTATGAATGTCAACATACAAAATAGAATATATCACTTCGTTTTACGTTTGTTAAATACATACGTTACATTCAGACCAGTAGTAAAGGCTTCGGTGCGGCGGACAGAAGGGGCACCTGTCGCATAAAAACTCTCCAAGCCTTTTGAATAATAGTAAACAGTTATAATTACAGCTATGAAAATCCTCGGCTCAAAGTGGACATGCCTCTCTCCCCACAAGCCACCGGCCAAAACATTACGACCACCGCACTATGGCAAAAAGGGCAGACGGAGACTTAGACCCGGGTTCATCTCTGTCGAAAGGCTCTTCTGTAGCTCTGCTGGGGAGTTTCTGCTCTGGACTGGATCAGAGGTGGTTAAGGCCTGGGTTAGACCTGGGTTAGACCTGGTTTAGACCTGGTTTAGACCTGGGTTAGTCCCGGTTTAGACCTGGTTTAGACCTGGGTTAGACCTGGGTTAGTCCCGGTTTAGCCCTGGTTTAGACCTGGGTTAGACCTGGGTTAGTCCCGGTTTAGTCCTGGTTTAGACCTGGGGAAGTCCTGGTTTAGTCCTGGCCTGGGTTAGACCTGGTTTAGACCTGGTTTAGACCTGGCCTGGTTTAGTCCTGGTTTAGACATGGTTTAGTCCTGGCCTGGGTTAGACCTGGTTTAGACCTGGGTTAGTCCTGGTTTAGTCCTGGCCTGGTTTAGTCCTGGTTTAGACTGGTTTAGTGGCCTGGGTTACCTGGTTTAGACCTGATTTAGACCTGGCCTGGGTTAGACCTGGTTTAGACCTGGTTTAGTCCTGGCCTGGGTTAGACCTGGTTTAGACCTGGTTTAATCCTGGTTTAGACATGGTTTAGTCCTGGCCTGGTTTAGACCTGGTTTAGACCTGGGTTAGTCCTGGTTTAGTCCTGGCCTGGTTTAGTCCTGGTTTAGACCTGGTTTAATCCTGGTTTAGTCCTGGCCTGGTTTAGTCCTGGTTTAGACCTGGTTTAATCCTGGTTTAGACATGGTTTAGTCCTGGCCTGGTTTAGTCCTGGTTTAGACCTGGTTTAGTCCTGGTTTAGTCCTGGCCTGGTTTAGACCTGGTTTAATCCTGGTTTAGTCCTGGCCTGGTTTAGTCCTGGTTTAGACATGGTTTAGTCCTGGCCTGGGTTAGGCCTGGTTTAGACCTGATTTAAACCTGGCCTGGGTTAGACCTGGTTTAGACCTGGTTTAGTCCTGGTTTAGTCCTGGCCTGGTTTAGACCTGGTTTAGTCCTGGTTTAGTCCTGGCCTGGATTAGACCTGGTTTAGTTCTTGGTTAGATCTGATTAAATTCTGGGTCAGACCAGGTTTAGATCTGGTTTAGTCCCGGTTAAGTCCTGGTTAAGTCCTGGCTTCTATTGTGGGGAGTTCTTGCTCTGCTGTGGACAGTATCAGAGGTGGTTAAGACCTGGTTTAGTCCTGGTTTAGTCCTGGTTTAGACCTGGTTTAGTCCTGGTTTTGACCTGGTTTTAATATAATCTTCAGTACCCAGGTCAGTATCTGTCAGAGGAACTAGACCTGGTTTAGTTTTCCTGGTTTAGTCCTGAATTAAAGCAGAGATATTTTTGGTGATCAGAATCAAAAATGGTCCAGGGAAGAAACCATGGCAACTCAAGCACAGAGAGACTCTGTTACTCAACGTCATGTTCACATGAATTTAGTCATTTTTAAACATCAGGTTTGACAAGAAAACAGTTTTTACCTTTAAAATATATTAAAACAGTGATTTTTTTTTTTTTTTTGTTGAATTCTTAAAATCATCTCTTCGTCCTCTTTGTAAACTTTAACCACCGTCGCTCTGAATAAAACGGACGATTTTGCCAAACAGTGTTAAATTTCATTCACGCTAAACCAGGTCTGAACCAGGTCTGAACCAGGTCTTAACCAGGGCAAAAACAGGATGAAAATAGGACTAAACTAGGATTAAATCAGGTCTAAACCTGGATTTAACAAGGTCTAAACCAGGACTAAACCAGGGCTAAACCAGGGCTAAACCAGGACTAAACCAGGGCTAAACCAGGACTAAACCAGGGCTAAACCAGGGCTAAACCAGGACTAAACCAGGTCTAAACCAGGTCTAAACCAGGACTAAGCCACGTCTAAACTAGGATGAAAAAAGGACAAAACCAGAATTAAACCAGGTCTAAACCAGGTCTAAACCAGGATGAAAATAGGACTAAACCAGGATTAAACCAGGATTAAACCATGTCTAAACCAGGTCTAAACCAGGTCTAAACCAGGATGAAAATAGGACTAAACCAGGATTAAACCAGGTCTATACCAGGACTAAACCAGGTCTAAACCAGGTCTAAACCAGGATGAAAATAGGACTAAACCAGGATTAAACCAGGTCTATACCAGGACTAAACCAGGTCTAAACCAGGTCTAAACCAGGATGAAAATAGGATTAAACCAGGTCTAAACCAGGGCCAAACCAGGTCTAAACCAGGTCTAACCAGGATTTAATCAGGTCTAAACCAGGAATAAACCAGGTTTAAACCAGGACTAAAATAGGACTAAACCAGGAAGAAAACAGGACTAAGATGTCAAAATCTAATGTTTTAGGAAAAAACCTCTGTCGCCTAAACTTGAACACAAATAAAACCCCGTCTTAGTTTGTGTTTGGTGTCGTACGTGGCGTGGCATCAGGTGTAATGGTCGTAATGTTTTGCCTGATTTTTGTAAACAGGAAATACAAAAGTGGTTCAGTTCAGTAGTGTCCCGTAGAGCTGGGCCTTGGTCAGACTGTCCTTCCGGGTCAACCCCAGAGACCCGAACTTGGTCAGGGGGGCGTGACCGTAGGGAGGGGGCGGGGCCGGGGGCGGGGACTGGCTCACCTGGCTCACCTGTGGGGGCAGGCTGTGCATCTCCACCTGGTAGTGCTGCAACTCCGCCGCCATCTCCAGCGACCTCTGGTGGAGCGACTCGGTGGAGCTGTTGGGACTCGGGTCCTCGCCGTACTCCTGGCCCTGCCCCCCAGCCCAGGCCCCGCCCCCGGCCCCGCCCCCTCCCGGTCCTTGGAGCTTCCGGAGTGGTACAGGCTCTGCTCGGACCCCTGGCTGCCCTCCGCCCGGTACAGGTGGGCTTGGCTGTGCGCTTGCCTCATCCCGCATTCCTGGCTCCCCGCCGCGCCCGCCCCCGCCCACCCCTGGTCCATGACGGCGCCGCCCTGGTGGTGGAGGTGGTAGTAGTCGGCGCCCTCCTGGAAGCTGCTGTACATGGGACCCAGTCGGATCTTGGCGGGTCTGACCGAGAAGTGCTGCTCAGAGAAGCTGTACGGCGACGCGCGGCCGGGACTCCGATACGAGTGCAGGTCCTCCACGCTGAGCTGTCGCCACCGGCAGATCAGCTCCTCCTCCTCGGGCGCCAACGTGCTGCCGCGGCGACTGTCTCCGTAGGCGACGCTCGGCGAGGAGGACGGCGGGAGCGGCTCGTACGGCTCGCTGAAGCAGGACGACATGGTGCGGCTGTACACGGGCGAGCTGCCGTTGTTCTGGTGGTGCGACATCTCCCCCTGCTGGAAGGACGGGGCGTTGCCGAAGACCCCGGGGCTTTCGGCGTCGCCCTCCCAGGACGACTCGCTCTTGCGGTCGTCGTAGCCGCCCGCGTCCCTCCACTCCATGTAGAGCGTGTGGTGGTGCGGGGAGGAGGCGTTGGAGCTGGGCGGGCCGTGGGGTTTGTCCTCGGAGCCGGCGGCGCTGAAGCTGGAGTAGGAGCTGGAGCCGGTGCCCAGCAGAGGGGGGAACTTGGCGAAGTGCTCCTGAGAGAAGCTCTGGGTCAGGCCCACAGACCCCTCCTCCGGGTTACTGTGGACAGAGGGAGAAAAGTTTAGATTAGGGGTCTGCAAGGGACAGAATTTTCAGTCCTACTCCTGCCCACATCTGTGATATTTTGTCCCGCTCCCGCCCGCAAATCCCGCAGGATGGGAACGTTCACTTTCTCAAGCTCTATCAATCCGTATATCATTTGTTCATTAGTTTTTCAAAATAAAACCAAAAATAAGAAAACGAAAAAACAACAATTTTCTTCATTATTTGTCTACAAAACCAAAATGAGAAAACTATTTTGTCTTTAAATGATAATGGAAAAAATGAATAACGGCTGTTCCTGTTTCTGAAACTTAAAATGTGATGCTGGACTTTTGCAGCGCATATGGACTGAACCAGGACTAAAACAGGATTAAAAACAGGACTAAAACAGGTCTAAACCAGTACTAAAACAGGACTAAAACAAGACTAAAACAGGACTAAATCAGTACTGAGTGTCGGGACGGGCCCGGAGGTGCGCCCATGTAGACTGTCAGGTGATCAAGACTGAGACCGGGACCAGGTTGGGACTGAGACCAGTTTAGTCCTGTTTTAGTCCTGGGTTCAGTCCGGATGCGGCGCAAAAGTCCGGCATCGCAGTTTAAGTAACCGCTCCGCTCTGCTCCTGTCACTCTGATTGGTCAAAGCGATCACATGATTTATGAGACCGCGCTCTGTGAGTACGTTCGTGTGTATTTGTGTGTATTTGTGTATTTGTGTGTATTTGTGTGTACCTGCAGGAGAAAAGACCACTACTGCGCATGTTCAATCGGCCCCAGAACCACTGGAAGTACCTCGCCGGGCTAAAAGTGAATCTGGAGTCATGCGCCATTGAGCTCGGCCCATTGACTTGAATGGACGGACATTTAAAAAACCTGGGGCTTGTTCTTTAGTGGCAGGATAACTATGCCCATTGACATGAACTAGTCTTGCAGTAGTGACCTCTGCAAATACAAGGACTGGTATGGAATATTTTAAAAAGTGTCTCCACACGTCTCCAAAACTCTGGCTCACTAGGAAATGAGGTCCTGTGTCCAAAATTCCAGACTGTCCCTTTCCAGTGTTGTTAAAATTGACTTACTTGGTGACTAATACTTTTATTCAGTCCCCACCCCGTCCGGTCCCTCACCTTTGACTGTCCGTGGAGTTCTGGGGCCCGTACACCATGGCCCTGTGCCCGTGCAGGTCCATGCTGGGGCGCCTCTCCCTGTGCCGATCGTCGGGGCAGTACAGCGCCGTGTCGCTGCTGTACAGGTCCGACTTGTAGGCCGCTCGGAGCCCCAGCCGCCCGCCGGGACCGCCCAGGCTCTCCAGGATGAAGGTGTGCTCCTGCGGGTGGGGCAGGGGGCCGGGGGGGCTGGGCGAGCGGGAGCCCTGGCTGCTGCTCCCCCCGTCGTCGGGCTTGTCCAGGCCGGGGCTCAGGTGGGAGGCGGGGACCGGGTCGGCGTACAGGGCGGGCTCCTCCTCCTCTTCCTCCATGTGAAGAGTCATGCGCTCCTGGAAGTCCGCCGGGAGCTGGGGGGAGACGGAAGGACACTGGGTTCAATAATGTGGTGATACTTTGCATTGACGTCATGTTGTGGCTGTTCTACGTGTATCTCTATGGTAAAAAGTTCAGCAGTTATCCTTGGTGACACAATGTGCATTTAGGACAAAGTTTTAAGATTGTCTAAAAACTGAAAAACATATTTAAACATATTTACATGAGCCTGTGATCAATACAAGCGTTCATAGTCCGTGTATCATTCGTCCGTTTGTTTTTTAAAATAAAAACAAAAATAAGAAAACAAAAAAACAACAATTTTCTTCATTATTTGTCTCCAAAAAGAAAATGAAAAAACGGACAATGGCCATTTCCCGTTTCCGTGACTTAAACTGTGTGACTTTTGCGCCGCATACGGACTGAACCAGGACTAAAACAGGACTAAACCAGGTCTAGGTCTAAGCCAGGACTAATCCAGGTCTAAACCAGGTCTAAACCAGAACTGAACCAAGACTAAACAGGTCTCAGTCCGGGTCTCAATCCCGGTCTGGTCCAGGTCTGATCCCGGTCTCAGTCTCAGTCTCAGCCCTGATTTGGTCCTGCTCCGGTCCTGGTCTTAGTCCCGGTCTCAGTCCCGGTCTGAGCCTAGTGTGGTCCTGATCCCGGTCTGGTCCTGGTTCCGCTCTGGTCCTGGTCTCAGTCTCAGTCCCGGTCTGGTCCCAATCTCAGTGCTGGTCTGGTCCCGGTCTCAGTCCCGGTCTCAGTCCTGGTCTGGTCTCGGTCTGTTCCCGGTCTGGTCCTGGTCCCACTCTGGTCCTGGTCTCAGTCTCGGTCTCAGTCCCGGTCTGGTCCCAAACTCAGTGCTGGTCTCAGTCCCAGTCTCAGTCCCGGTCTAAGCCCAGTGTGGTCCCAGTCTCAGTCCTGGTCTCAGTCTCGGTCTTAGTCCCGGTCTGGTCGTGGTCTGGTCCTTGTCTCAGTCCTGGTCTCAGTCTCGGTCTCAGTCCCGGTCCGGTCCTGGTCCTGCTCTCGTCCTGGTCTCAGTCTTGGTTCCAGTCCCGGTCTGGTCCCAATCTCAGTGCTGGTCTGGTCCCGGTCTAGTCCCAGTCTCAGTCCCGGTCTCAATCCTGGTCTGGTCCCGGTCTCAGTCCCGGTCTGGTCCTGCTCTCAGTCCTGATCACCCGACAGTCTACATGGGCACACCTCTGGGTCCATCCCGACACTCAGTCCTAGTTTAGACCTGGTTTAGTCCTCTTTTAGTCCTGGTTCAGTCCGTATGCGGCGCAAAAGTCCAGCATTGCAGTTCTTCAGTCATTATTCTCGTTATTCAAGCAGCATGACCGACACGCTGATGTAAGCACTCAGTTGTTTTGTAATGAACGCGTTTTAAGCAGAAATGCTGACGTTGATTAATGGACTTAAAGAAGACCTACTGTGTTTGTGTCGACTATATAATTATAATCTATGGCACCCGTGGATCTGTATGTTATAAATTGTTATAAATTCATCTAAAACGACTTAATAAAATAAATAAGTGCACTGATTTCAGCGTTAGAAAACTGTGATGGGAGCTGATGTCACCACAACAAAGAGCTTGAAGTTGTCGGCATCTCTGATAGATTTTTCGAGAGGCTAAATGACAAGGAAACGACTGTAAGATCTGAAAAGTCAACTTTGCAGAATAGGTTTATTTTAAAGGTCTACCTATGATGTGACAGTCCAGAGAAAATTTTGTGTTTTCTGAGGCGCCATCCACACCAGTACGTATTCGAGTCGTTTTCGTTGTGGATGCAGTGTTCGTCAAAACTTATCCGATGGAAAACAGCTCCAGAGATGGAACTATCTGGTGCCGCCAGCTCCCGTGATTTCATCTGAGTACCGATCTGATCCGGCACCGTGTGGACGCCTGAAAACGTTGATACGGTGACATAGGAGCTCTAGTTGCGTCCTTATTGGACCACATCACTGTGATGTATCAGAACCAGAAACAAAAGTGATATGGTTCAAAAGACGTGAAAAGATCGGCTTTGACAATAAACGCATCACACTGGGAAATCAAACATGGCGGTTTGATGCTCACTTTTTCAGAGGACCCTTCCCAGTATGCATTGCGCAATGACCGGAAGTCCGAAATTCGAGATGCATGTATAATCGTGATTTCAATATTGACCAAAATAATCGTCCATAGTCGAGCAGACCTTGACTAGAGGAATCTGTGTATCATTCGTTTTTCAATATAAAACCAAAACTAAGAAAACGAAAAAAACAACAGTTTCCTTCGTTATTTGTCTCCAAAACCAAAAGAAAAAAACAGATAACGATTCGTTTTTTTCAGTTTTCGATTTTGTGTTTAAATGAAAAATGGAAAAAACGGATAACGGCTGCTTCCCGTTCACGTGACTTCCATGACTGCGATACCGGACTTTTGCACCACGTATGGATTGAACCAGGACTGATCCAGGTCCGAGACCAGACCAGGACCAAAGCGGGACTCAGAGCGGGACCAGACCGGAACTGAGACCAGACCGGAACTGAGACCAGGACCAGACCGGAACTGAGACCGAGACCAGCGGTCCAAGCGGTTCCGTGTCATCGTCTGCGCGCTGGTTCCGTGCGGGGAAAGCGAGAATGCGCTGTGGACTACAGGACCGGACGGGCTGCTCCGGTCCTCCGCGCTCAAGAACCGCGGCTGGTTCCGTGTGGTGCAAAGCATCCAACTGATGCTTTCACACCAACGAAAATGAACCGAACTAAGAGCTTTTGGTTCAAATGGACCAGGTCCGGGACCAGACCGGGACCAGACCGGAGGCTCAGAGCCCACGGCAGGGCCGGAGCTCGAAGCTGAGGCTCGGACCCCGCGGAGGCTCGGAGTCTGGTCCCAGTCTGTTCTGGTCTCAGTCCCGCTCTGGTCCCGGTCTGGTCTCGGACCTGGATCAGTCCTGGTTCAGTCCGTACGCGGTGCAAAAGTCCGGCATCGCAGTCACGGAAGTCACGTAAACGGGAAGCAGCCGTTATCCGTTTTTTCCATTATTCATTTAAACACAAAATCGAAAACTGAAGAAACAAATCATTATCCGTTTTTTCATTTTGGTTTTGGAGACAAATAGTGAAGAAAACAGTAGTTTTTTAGTTTTCTTATTTTTGGTTTTATATTGAAAAACTGATGAACGAATGATACACGGATTTAGAGGCTATAGCTGGATGAATCCTTCCACATAACACCACTGTTTCCATGAGCAAGACGCTTCACTCAGACAGTTTGGGATTAGGATTAATATCTGGCGTAAACTCCATCTCCTTTTTAGTAAAATACTGGTACTGTTTCGTGGTAGTAATAGGCCTAGGTAAAGTATCTCTCCTCTGTTGCAGTAAACTCATCTTCTGCCCTTCCTCACGCCTCCATAAACTACAGGCTACATTCGTCGATATGTTTCGGAGCCGCCGACCCAGGAGACATCAGCAAACACGTAAACATACCATAAACGCATGTACGACCTTTGACCCTAATGTACCGTAAACGAAACACGCCGATAATAACGCGCACGTCCACAGCGAGTGTGAGCTTATGTAATGATCGAGCCGTATTGACATTTCCATCGGGACACATGAGCGCGGTGTAAACAAGCTCCAGTCTAACCTTATGGAAATCAGATTGTTGTTGTCAGGGTTTACAGAAATTACTTTTACTCAATTATTTTATTCATGAACTATTTACTTTTATTTATGTATTATCCTTACTTTTGAGTAAACGTTACTCTCCCATAGGTTTCATAATTTCGTATTTTTACTATTTTTTGTAACACATGAAATGAAAACGAAAATGGCGTCATAAATAGAATTGTATTATTTTGAACAATTTTTGGTTTTGGACCAAGTTGCTACCATTATGACAAAAGAAAAGTATTATCATGTATTTAATGGGGGTGTGCATTGCCTGACGATACAATACATATCACGATTCGCATGTCATGATTCAGTATATCACGATATATCCCGATACTAAAACAATGGATGATATATTGTGATTTATCAATAATTACGTCTAATAATACAGACAACTACACCTTCAAGAGAGCACAACTGTATGAAAAATATTTGATAAACTTTTTAAAATCATGAGAACAATGAATGTAACTAATGAATTTTTGTGAAAAATAGTATTTAAAAAATCAATTTGGATCCTTTTTGAAGCGATTCGAGAATTGTTTCTTACACTCTTGGATTTAATAATTAGAATGCCATTTGCCAAAGGGCCTATATTACACTATTTTCTGATCTATATTACCTATATTTCCTCATTACAAACAAACCTGGAGTACCGTATTTTCTGGACTATAACTCGCTCCGGAGTATGAGTCGCACCAGCCAAAAAATGTGTAATGAAAAATTAAAAAAACATATATAAGTCGCACTTTTTTGGGGGAAATTTATTTTAGAAAATCAGAGACCTGGAACTAACATTTCATCTTGAAAGTCAAGTTATAGTAAAAACAATAGAACAGAGAACAACAGACTGTTAACGTCACATATGAACAGTTCTTCAGATAAACTATAACATAAACAACAGAACAGAACAAGTTTAACAAACTCTCCATCTCACTCCAAATCACTAAATCCATTCAATTCTTCATCCTCGGTGTCACTTCTGAGCAACTCCGTGACCTCCAGAGGTAAACAGAGCGCCAGCTTCCTCTTCTGTGTCGCTGTCGTCAAACTCGGCATCAGTTCCAGTTAGAATTATTTCAGCCTTTCTGAATCCCGTCTGGATGGTTTCAGTTGTGTCTGAAGTCAGGCTTTGTCGATCCATCAAATGACTTCCAGGAAAGTTGCATGATGCGGCTTGTTTTCAGCTGCATATTTCGCTACTTGCAGCAGGACAGAGGCTCTTTCTGCAGGAGACATGCGCAGTAGTGACAGTGGTACAGGAGTAATAGGAGCAGCAGATACTGACATAAAAGCCTTGAGCCTCCCACGTCTGTCAGTGTGAAAATTTTAATATATAAGTCGCAGGAAACACCCAAACCATAAAAAAGTA